GTGAGAAATGCTGCTGCTCTCTGGAGAGCACCGCCAGGACAGGCCGGCATGGAGTACCAGCATAAGAAATGTCTGTGCAAGACAGAACTGTTAAAGGCTGCCTTAATTATTCTAATAAGCAAATCATTCATCAAAATCTAACAGCACAGAAAATTAGAATTATTCCTTCTATAAAACTGATTGAAAGAAACAGGTAAACTAAAAATGAGGAAAAGGAAAAGATTCTTTAGATAATACTCTTGTTTTAAAAAGATATGCCGTATTGTTTCTAGCTATGTTTTATTCAAAGATATCTCTTTCTAAACTTGCAGCATTTGAATGTTGGCACTTATCTCCAGTAGAGTTGAACTTAACCACTCTATAAAAACGGGTCATTAATAACAGGGAGACAAATACTTTTTTTTGTTTTTGTTGTAGTCAATGTTTTAGTTAAAGTTTTTCAATAAAAAAAAAAAAAATTAATAAAAAAAAATACTAAAATCAATTAGAGAGAAAAAAAAAGGGTCTCATAAAGGTTTTCCAGATCATAAAAGTAAACTGAGTTTAATTGAATGCCAGTTTTTGGTATTTCTAGCATCATTTATCTGTATAATTTCTGAAATATTTAAAAGTCAACAAGGTTGTTTAGAACAAAAGGGAACTATAAAATTGCAATAAATACAAACAAGTTTAGCTTATCTGTAAATTCTCTGTCATCCAGTTCATGGTCAAGCTCGAAAAAGTTCAGTCTGGGAGACTGGACATGAAGTTTTTTATAGATATTTTATCCAAGAGACTTTTTCCAGTTCTAACTAGTGGTGTGAGCACTGAGATTAATATAATGTAAGAGTAACAAACAATTAGGGGGGACTAATCCCTGCCACTAAATTGGCCAAAGAGGTCACAATGGGGGTCTTTATGGTTGTTAGGGGGTTCTGATGGGTCACTAACTCCCTCCTCAGAGTGGTTTTGTTCATATGTCTTATTAAGGCAGGTGGGGCGGGTGACAGGTGAATCTTCTGGGTATTGTTCCTAAAAGTGCTGTAAGGTGGCAAAAGGTTTTGTCTAAGACCTTCTTCTCTGTTAAGAGATGTTTTTCCAGGTTAACAAAGATGGCTTCCTTAACCCCTCATTCAAACAATCTTTCTTCCTTTGCAGTTATATGGACATTGTTGTCCACAAACTATTGTCCTTCAGCCTTCATTTGACCTCCTTGGCCAATCCGGTGGGAGGGATCAAAGCCAACTTTTGTCCCCCCCTATTTCTTTGTTAGATCTACAGTGTTCTCACTGCTCCCCAACACTACTTGGAACTGAAGAAGCCTCTTGGATGTCTTTGAGATGTTTTCCAGAAAACTTCCCTTTCAGTTGCATAAACTAAACTTTTTCAAACCAGTTTAGGATAATTATTAACCTGGAAACCAGGCTTGGACTGATAATCTGCTATACCGGGCATTTGCCCGATGGGCCGGTCCTAATTTCAGCTTGTCCTCTTCAGGCAAGTCCTCCTTAAATGATAGCGGCCCCAACACTTACTCTCTGGATGACGCACCTACCTGTGACAGTAAATAACTGAAGGAGCTCAAGAAGTAATACAATGTTAACTACATAGATGATGCATGCAGTATATATAGCCCTTCCTTGTCATGCACATCTTTGTGACGGTTGGCATATGGTGTAATTTTCTATTTCTTCAAACTGTAAAATCCTTGCAACGAACTCAATTATAATAAAACTAAAATGCTTTCTTTAAACCAAACTACGGCGTTTCTATTATATTTGGCGTATTTATGTATGCATGATGGGGTTCTGCATCTGTTTACATTATTCCATTTCATTGCCCACATGCCACCTAGACTCGCAGTGAATGCTTACACACTGCTTAGCTTTCATGTATTCATTCTTGAAGAACTGCCTGTCTGCCTTTGTATTGTGTTGTTTTATGTTGGTGTCTTTTACAACACTCTGGCTTGCGTTGTAGACCTAGTATGTGTGAGTTTCTGCTTCATGCAAGTGTGGACGTTGTGAAGCAGAAGGCACTGTCGCATCAAATTTCTTTAGTGGCTGTATTTCAATCTTTTTACATATGAGGGGCTCACATCCAAACTTAACCCTGGCCTCCTTGCTGAGAACGGTGCCGTAGATATTCCGGGCCACACAGGTGTAGGTCCCTGCATGTTTCTTCTGGATTGGGTTAGTGATAACCAGGTTTCCACCAACTAGGCTGTAGTGTTCATCAGGCTGCTCCATTAGCTTTATTTCCCAGTTGTCCCGACGCCACCTATTATAGAAAATATGCTTTTTGTTGTGTAGGACATCATTTGTATATAGACATGCTTAAATGTAAAAGAAAAAAAGAAAGAGAGAAACTTTACCTGTATGTGGCTGGAGGATTTGCACGTGCTCTGCAGTTCATAGAGATCCTCTTATCAGGTGAGTCATCAGTGTAGACCACATCCATTGGTTCCTCTTCAAAAATGGGGCCATATCCAGTAGCTTCCTCTAAAACAATTAAGGTAAAAAAAAATTAACACAAGTTTAAAAACCTCACTAAATATGCCTTGGAGTTTTGAACTCACCTCCATATATCCTGGGCTCTCCAAACAAGACGGCCACTAATAAAGAAGAAACAGTATCATCGCACCTCAAAAAGCAGTGAGTTTCCATAGGACTACAATCAGTTTTCTGTGGGGTTATCATTTTTATAAATTAGGTGTTTTAGTCTTACATGTGATTGGTACAGACGAGAAGAGGCCCAGCAATAATAAAGCTGTGGAAACCATGACTGTCAGCTGGCAGGATCTTTGCAATCTTGTGGGTTAGATGGATGGAATAACAGATGCAAGTAAGAAGGTGGATGAACCGGAGACAGACTGTAAAGAGTTGAGAGAGACCAAAACAGAAGACATTTTCAATCAAAATTCAGCTTGATCCCACTGCTGGAGCATTAGCTGTATGAGATCTAAGATCTGATCTTTTTCGAATTTTTATAAGCATCATATGTAAGAGCTATTGATTTAGTTCAATTTAAAATTACTTTTTTGATCTCAAAGGTAAATTAAATATTAAGGTAACTAATAGTTGTTGTTTTTTTAACTGTTGGCAGGAAGGCTCTCCAGATCTGAGGAAGCCTTATACTAAAGACACACAACTGTTTTTTAACAAGCTAAAATGAATGCACACAGTTTTCCATAATGTTCTTCGTTTTATCTAGATGAGTTCCTAGAACAGAGGGCTTCTTTATCAGCTTATATAAGATAGACAGAAGAAATAAAGCAGGACCTAAGCTTCCTTAAGAAGTATAGTCTGCTCTGTCACTTTTTTTTGTTTAGTTTTTTTTGCCCTGTCCCTTCTTGTAGACAGCTTCACAGTTTTGTCTCAAATGGAGTCTGTTGTCCAGCTGAACACCAGCTGGATTTATTTATACTCCTCCATCACCTCAGTCTCTTCTCTTTCTTGTAAAATCTACTTTCTGGATCAGACAACAGTTCCCAACTCTCCAAATAACTCCTCTTGGTATGGAATATGCTAATTAGAGATAAAGACTTAAAGATATTATTACACACTTGCAACCACAGAAAAAATAAATAGAGGTCTTTACATAAAAGAAGGGACACCACCGTCCCTGGAGTCATCCTGAACTGCGACAGACAGTATCAGATATTCTTCAGCCTGACATCATCTGTTCTCTCAGTTAGATAATTGTGAGGTAAAAATCCTAAATTATTCAGGTTGTCAGTGACTCAGCAGAATTTTAACAGTCTAATCATGAAAAAATACATGCGTTTAAACAGCAAAACTAAATATGAACAAACCAAAGATATGCTCGGCTTTAGCTTACAAGATCCATGTCATAGTGAAGTCACACAGCAGGGAAGAATCAGGCAGAATGAGTAGAGGATAAGGATCAAAATGGAAACACAGGGTCGTTGCTATATATAGCAAACTGAGGATTGACAGATTAAGAACAAACATTGTTTTTTTTTAAGGGCTGATCTTTCAGTATGCCAGCAAAACCATCGTACTGGAAAACAAAATACAAAGGAAACACATGAAAAACCTTTGCATCAACATCCTATAGCAACTTCTAAACTCATCTATTGAATCAAATGGACATTAGATTAGATGATGCAGTTTTCAAATGTTTTGTGCAGTGTCTAAGAAGACAGTTTCCTGGCACTCTAGTGTAAAACTATCAGAAGTTGTAGATGTCCGTTGTATTTCAAAATATACAAGGAATATTGTATTTGTACTGTATGTACAAATCTTAACATACACCAATAATTGGGAAAACTTCATCATCCCTGGAAAAATGAGACTACAGGGGTAGGCTCCAGCATATTCTCAACTTATGTAGATTATTGCTTTCTCTGGGGATCAATATCGTGTTGCACGTAGGCCATAGGATGAGGGCGCTGCTGGTGTTCAGGAAGCACAAGTTTCAGCTTTCAGCATCTCTGAATTATTGGAGTTGTTATCCATCGTCAATCTCTCAAAGGAGTTTAGGTCGGGTAAGTTTTGTGACCAATCAAACACTAAAAGTAGGTATTTGCAAATTTGGCTGCGATGGCAGGTGGGAGATAAAAAAATGTGCATCTCCATATAGCTAAAAAGTCATATGTAAACAGCTTATATCATATAGTAAATGCATATATCAGGAAAATGTAGACACCTGAGTAGGACTAATCCCTAAAAAGGTCCTAATTTTTGGACTGATCCAAAAGTCTACCAAGCTAAAGAAATAAACAACAGTGTATTACCCATGTTGAAGTTTTGCTTAATTTCATTACAGATTTTTACCTCTTTATTGCTCTCGTTTTGTGTTATGTCTTCTCTCTCTGGCCAGTTTAAGTAATTTTAACATTTTTACCAAGTTCTCAGGGATCCCATTTAATGTTTATGATCCTCCCCCTAGAAAGCAAGCAGTAGTAGGGGATAAATTTACATTTAAATCTATTTTAGCAATATTGTTTTAAGATTTATAGTAAAAACTAGCTTTAATTCAATTATTTTCTAATCCCCCCTGCAGGCCCCAAAAGCCACAGCATTTGCCTATATGGCTCAACAGGCCAGCCAGTTCTGGTCCAAAGTGAAAGATGATCAAAAAAAAAAAAGAGTCTTATCATTCATCTCAAATATAGGAAGAGTACATATTCTAAATAATGCACTTCCAAGTTATCCCTACAAAGTTATTATTCCTCAAAAGGCATTAAATAAATAATAAAAAAACAACAATGACAGAGAGATAAAACTTTTAAACAAACATAGTTTATACTTGTTGCCGAGAGCCACAATTTAGAGGCAATGGAATCGATACATACTGTAGGAGAGACTGCAGTACTAGGTCCTTAGGCAGTCCTGATGACTCAACACTAACATTACCACAGCATGCAGCTCTTAGCTGCATGTGTTGTGCCTCTGCAAGTCAATATGTCCTCTGTTTATCTTTGAGACAGAGTTAAACATAATGCAAAAGTGAAACCTCTTCCGTCAGCTTTCCAAAACAATAATAATGTAACACAGGAATTGAACAAAAAAAACAACCTTTACATATAGATTTACAATGCTGCGCAAATCTATCACAAAGAAAACCTCACATCAGTTTATTCGAGAGTGTTTTTCATGCATTTCCCTCTGACAGTAATCCCATCACATATCCTCTTTGGAATCCCTGCCATGAAATTTAGGTCAAATGTATTAAGCCAAGCCTACACTGTAGTGTTTCAGCGACTGGCTGAACACTGATGTCGGCTGTGGCTTTGTGGCTTCAGGAAAACACAGTCGGAGCAAACTCTTAATTAAGAATAGAGAATATTATAAGTTGTTTATTCCTAGATTCGAACCATGTTCTTTAATTTGATTTTAAAATAAAAGTTTTACAAATAAAACTATGCTGAATGCTAAAACCTGTTTTCTAGTGGTGTAAAAATGAAAACCTAGAATAAAAAGAAATAGTTGTGAGCTGTCATTTTTAGGAAATTTTGTTAGACTTCTGTATTTCGACAGATTTTTGATTCTGAAGGCTGTATTTCAGGACAACTTGGCTCAAATTGCTCGAAAGTCCGTTTGATATCTTTAGCAAGGGAACCGATCTTGTTGTCTTCACCAACCACATTTACCTTTTTACAAAAAAGCTAAAAGTGGTTTACAGTTAACAGTTTAACTGAAACATTTATGCCTCAGCCATAGAAATAACAAAAAACTGAATCCAGGGAAGAATAAGGATTAGAATGACTGAACACAGATAAGAAAGAACTCATCGGTTATTTTATGTGGTGCCACCACATATATGTCAATCTGACAGCCTTTTTAGGTGAGCAGATTTAATCTGCTCTAAAAAATGGCACAATTAAACAAATAAAGGGACTAACCTTTCTTAATTATTTAAAAAAATATATATTTTTATCATTATTTTTTATTAAAAGGTAGATTGGCTTTTTCCTTCTGTTCTTTAGATTTTTATCCCACCCCTTTAAAAAAACAAAACAAATTATCTATGTAAATATCGTTTTCCTATTTGTTTAAAAGAGCTTCTGAACACTGAGCCTGGTTCTGCTGGAGTTTTTCCTCTCCACTGTCGCTACAAGCATGCTTATTGTGAGGGATTGCATTGGAGTCAATGAGTCCATGCAATCAGCTGGTTTTCCTTAGATAAAAAAATTGAATCAATTTTGACTGAATGATCTGGTTGAGTTGTAAAGTGCCTTGATATGACATGTGTTGTGAATTGGCGCTATATAAATAAACTGAATTGTATTCTGTTTCATTATCCAGGAATTTAAAAGATTGTAAAATCTGTTGCAAATCTCCAAGAAAATACAGTAATTATAACTTTGCAGCATTCCTTTGGTGATTGGGAAAATATAGGGATGCATCTCTGTATTTAGGTACTGAAGGAGTTGCAATCATTCCACATCATGATGCATGCAGCGGATCCCTTCGCCCTTGCAGCATCTGTCACTTTCACCTTGTGTCTCCTCTCCTTTTTTACTTTCTTTTTTGTGTTTCTACTGTGATTTTTATGTGTTTGGCAGCAGAATGAGTGCTATTTAAATAAAACTGACTTTAAGATGCCGCTCACATAAAGCCTCTAAAAGTATCTGCGCATCACCTCACCCTAATGACGCCGGAGCGGTGCTGGATTCGTTGCTCTGCATTGCGGTACTCCAGAGCCGGCTGGTCCACTTCAGCACCACAGCGCCCCAAAACACCCAGCATACATTATATTCAACCCAATCAGTGTCAAATTGCAGTCTTACCTCTGAGACGAGATGCTAAGGGAAAGAAGGGGGGAAAATGATGAAAAACAAATAAATAAATCAGCTGGCTGTCCTCATCGCACACCTGGACCTTAGCCGCATCATCAGCAGACACAGCCCAGCCGGAGCGTCCCGTCCAGGCCGAACTTTTCTATTGGATGGGAGCGACGCGTCAGACGGGCGGTGACGCTGTGGCTGCGATTGGTCCATGAAGAAGAGAGGATGGGAGGGATGCAGCAGAGCTGGAGCTGCGCATCCCAGACACTCAAAGGTGGAAACAAGGAAAAGGAACCGCTTTTTTTTCTTCAATGTACACTGAGGGGTGGTCGAAAGCGGATAGGCGCCAGAGCCAGGGTCGGAGCTAGATGGGGGGCCATGGCCACCCTTAGCCATTCCTTGGCCACCCCTATCATTTATTTCCCTCTAATACAGATGGTGGCAACAGTTAAACTCTCAAGCGGAATATTTAAAACGTTTAAAATTTTCATATATTAACAATTACTTGACGACAAAAACACTGTGGTTAATTATGCACATCAATATACTAACATTAAAGATGATAAGTACAGAATTCAAGCAGAAATAGATTTTTTTGTTTTATGGGGTAAAGAAAAATGATGTGTCTCTGCAAGTCATTTAGGAGTCTTTAGTGAAATCATAGATAAATATCTAATTTAGTAAAAACATATTAAATAATCAATTTATGTATATATTAGCATTTGTATATTATATATATCAATTTTATGCAGAATAATTGTTGATAAAAGTAGGTAAGTAATGACAATGGAAGTGATGTTCGCCCCAGAACTCAAACCTGAAAGAATTTTATCCACTATACCTTTTATCTAGAAAGCAAGGATATTTGAATATATTCGTCTCTCTGTTAGCAAAGGCTGTGGGAAAGTCTAGTTTGTCTTTATTTAGAAAATATGGATGTTTTGCTTGTTAATTTTCTTGTTGGAAGAGTGTAGATTGACTATGAGGTTTTGGTGCCTATCCGCTTTCGGGCCACCCCTCTGTGTACATTGGTTATTGCCTGGCCACCCTTATAAAAATGTTCATCTGGTGAACTGTAATGTGCCTTGAGATGATGTGTTGTGAATTGGCGCTATAAATAAACTGAATTGAATTGAAGCTTAATTTCATTTTAGTCTTGACCATTGGGTCATTATGTTGCAAAACAAACCCATTTCAAAGTTAGATTCTAGCTTTGAATTTGCTGATATTTTAGACTAAAAGCTAAACACAGATTTTGACTATTGAGGATATTACGACCAACAAACCACCTCTTTTTTGTGTTTTAATATTTTTTAGATATAATTTTAAATAATGATTGCTGTTACAATTTGACAGTATTGGCAACCCACGATTAAGAAGTGTTGATTTCTTCTTTCATTACTTAATCTTTATTATTACCCCAAAGAATCCATGTAGAAATATGTATTTTATTTCTTTCAAGTTTACACATTTAGGTCTTTCCATTTGTAAGAACCAGAGGTGGGTACCTAAAATTGAACTCAAGTAAGTGTGGCACTACTACTACCACATTTTGTTCTCAAGTAAATGTATAAACGAGTCATTCTTGAAATTATTCAAGTAAGAGTAGAAAAGAATTAATAAAAAGGCTACTCAAGTGCAGATTACTTGTAGAATCAAATCATATTCATTGCTTAGAAATAATGCAGTCAGACAGACTTTATTCTTTAGTTCTAGTAATTAAAAAAAGTAAAATACAAATAAATATTCCTGCAGAACAAATAATTTTCCAAGTTGATATTTTTGAAGATAAAACTTATAAAATCATTCTGTACTATAAGAGCAGGGATTTATTTTTTTTTTTATTTTTTTTACAATATCTACCGTTTACTGTACATTTGGCTGATCTCTCGATAGCTCAAGTAACTCACAATTGAAATAGTAGCCAGACATTATACTCAAGTATGAGCAAGCAGTACTTCACAATATTACTCAAGTAAAATTAAGAAGTACTGTACAATGAAACTTATTCTAAGAGTTCCTTAAAAAATTCTCAAGTAAATGAAGCTTAAGCGTAAATTCAATATGGAAGACTTCAGCTTCACCTAAACCACCTGCAATGTCCCTCGTTCAGCTCCAGCCAATCAACTCAGAGGGGCTGCACCTCTTCCAAAGCCAATCATCTTGCAAGATCCTCTTCCTTTAGCTCTTAGCCTAGCTTCTGTCTCTGACTAAAGCAAACTTTCACCCCCCTCCATCACATCTCCTCCCTCATTCGCAGTCCCACTCATCCTCTGGCCAGTGTCAGAGCCCGGGGGAAGACTTATCCTTTTCTAGGTCACTCATCCAAACTTACGTTGATTCAGAGCATCAAAGTCTGTCTTTATCTGCTTCGTTCTCCTTGAACCCTAGATGGCAGCTCACACTGCATTCTGTTTTTGCTGGAGGTTTCTTCCTGTTAAAAAGGAGTTATCCTCTCCACTGTTGTCACATGCATGCTCAGCATTAGGGATTGCAGAGAGTCAGTGAGTCCACATAATCAGCTGGTTTTCCTTAGAAAAAACAGTTTGAAGAATATGGTTGTGTTACCTGTGCAAATGAATTGAATATTTTCTAATAGCAGCTTTTCTCTGTGTGAGTCTCTCCAGGTTGAAATGTAACTTAGCAAATGTAAATAATTACTACCCACCTCTGGTAAGAACTTGGAATTAACTCACCTAGAGAACCTGAATGAATCAAAGTATATTCATTCTTTAAAATAATCTGCTCAAAATTAAGCCCTAATTTCCAAAGCTTTTGATTGAAATACTTTTCCAAGGTTCTATATTTCTTTTGATAACTGAGTTTTAAAAAATGAAAAAGATGATATTTTAAAACACTAGGTGGAGCCAAATTACACAATTCTACATGTTGCACTGCAGCAAAGAAACAAAAATGAACTGATCTTCAATCCTGTAACCAACATTTATTGATTTTTTTATCATTTCATTCATTTAAAATACAAAATATTTTGCAATATTATATTGTAGGGTAAACCATTCAACAGCCTTTCATGCTTCTCATGTAGCTTCAACATTAACCAGAATGTCATAATTTATCATACTGTATATCCTGTTTCAGCCAGCATTTCAGCAACATTGTTTCCAGAGTATTGACACTCAAATGCATGAGTAAGTGTGTCCATGCCATCCTGCTCTATGCTCCAAATATTTTTTTTTTGTTCTTTTTTGTATTATGACTAATTAATTTCAGTCTAGTTGTCCTGAATTAGATGTGTGGATTCCTCTTGAAATAAAACTCTGTTTAACCATGTGCCGTTTTTTTCTTTCGTATATTTATATATATCAAATACAAAATGCAGAAAATGTGCATGAACTGCCAGAAAAAGAAACAGTACAGGTGCCACAAGAGCTCAGTCACAAATCATCAGTAGTGATACCCGATACTGTGGGCTAAACATGTTTACCTGACGATAAAACAAACAGAAGTTCACAGCAAATCAAAGAGTGAAGTCTAGATGTAGTCTAATTCCACACAGTCTTTTTACCCCATCCCAACTCTGATCCTATGCTCAAATCAAACCGTTATTTACAACAAAAGAAAAAAAAACTGAAAATATAAATATCTACACATGGAGTTTTGACATGTTGAAACCTTAAAACTTGATGCAAGTCATGATAAGAACATAAAAAATGCCTCTGTGTCCAGGGGGAGCAGATGACAGGACACGCATTGGAACGCTAAAAAGCAGTGTACACTTTTGCGTGTACACACACACACACACACACACACACACTTCAGAGCAGCATGCCTGCACCGACACATTCATGTACCTCACTTGCAAAAATATGAATTCTGCTCTCAGACTATAACATACTGCAGAAGGTGAACAAAAATACATAAATAAAATTCCCTAGTGCATTCATTCACACTTTAAAATGAAACAAGCAGTATTTTCATTCAGAAAAAACACACTTGTATCCACATTCATTACTGTAATTTCTATATGACCTTTTTCTAATATTGATGGTTACAATAAGACTAGACAAGGTGGTGAATCTGGTTCACACTGGCAGTTATCTGGTGAAAAGGTTGGCAGTAGTTTGGTTTAGATTTGAGATGCATGTGTGTTCAGAGAATGTTAATGAATGGGCAAGCTTTATTTTCCTTCCAATTGTACATTTTAGAATATGATCTATTAAAAAAGTAGATTCAATCAAGCTAATATGATTGTGCAACTGTAAAGAAAATGCTTTTCAGGTCCGTTTTCAGACTTTTTTTTTTAAACCTTGACCCTTAAAAAAAAAACAAAATCAAAACAGCTTAAAAAAATGTATTTGTTTTAAAAGACAATGAAGAAATTCTCTGGAAAAAAAAGCCGGTTTCACATCAGCGGAACAACCATCGGAAACAAACAGCATCCTCACAATAACTTACCAGTGGGAAACCATGTGTTTTCATTTACGTTGGAGAACATAAGGTAAAGTTTCCCTTTAATTTTTCACTCCTTTCTAGCTTGTAAAATAGTCAAATTTGTAATCATTATTAGCTGCATTAAGAGAGCTCTTTCTTTATGAGGTCTCCTTGAATTTCCACCCTGCTTGTAACATTTTGGTCTGAATAATTAGGCATTGAACTGTGGAACTAGGTGACTGTTTTCTACGAAGGCACTAGAAACCATGCTGACAGCTTTGTGAAAATACAGATAAATATCACAAAACTTCCGTCGATACAGTAATCTTATGCAGTTCAAATATTTCTGTTAGTCTATATAAAAAACTAAGATGGAGGATACATAGCAAACAGATTATTAAGGTGATAGTTTTTTTTTTTTTACATAGATAACTATGACTCTGGGTGGAAGAACTCAACAGTGACTGTAGACCATTCATTAGTATTCAGTAACAAGCGTACAATGCAAAGCTAACAAAATATGGCATAAATTATATTTAAACCATCAAGCTATAAACAGGCTGTTTTGACATACGGTACCTCGCACAAGTGTTCATACTCTAATTTTTGGCACCTTACAGCCTTGGAGTTTAAGGACTTTCTATATCGCTGACCTCAAAACCTAAATGGTGCATGACTGTATAGTGGAAGTAAGATGTGAGTGGTAAACAGCGTTTTTTTTGCAAATGAAAATTAAGAAGTATGGCATGTTTAATATTTGCCCCTTCTATTCTGGTTCTTTTTAAATAAAGGCCATCGGCTGCAAAGAAGTACACTAGGGGTGAAACAGTTAATTGGATAAATCGTGATTAATCGATTAATTGAAATAACCGTCAACTATTTTAGTTATCGATCAATCGTTAATTGGAGTATAGAGGCTGTAAAACATGCCTTTAGCTGACAGAGCAACCCACTTAGAGCAGTAATTATACCAAAATTGTAAAAAAAAAAAATTCTAAATTTTGCATTTAAGATTTAAAAAAAAAAAACTTTAGTTTTTCAATTGTTCAATCCAGAACTCAAGTGGAAACATTTTAGTTTCACCTGGTTTATTTTTGTAAAAAAGAATCTTCTTTAAAAGGAGCCAATTTGCAAAATAATCGTTAGTTGCAGCCCTAGAGTATACCCCATTAAAGGTCAGATACTTGACATGATGTTTTGGAATTGAGGGAGGAACTTATTTTTTTCCAAGCAAGCAAGGCCAACTCTTATTGCACATCTTTGTCTTCATGAACACTACACTATGTGTGGCGAGAAGCTAACATAACATCATCATAATGAGAAATAGTTGTTTTTGCTGTCGTTCCCAAGATAGGGATCAATTTATTTGTGTAGGTGTCCTAAATATCCAAAGAAAACATATTCAATTCTAAGGTTTGTGACGTGAGATCATTTTAAAATGTTAAATGCATGCGCGTACTTTAGCAAGGCGCTACTACAGGGGAACACCATGCTGGCTCTCTGCTTCTTCCTTACCAGTTTTCCAGGCACTAAGAATGGACACACCTGACCTGGATATACAGCTTTCCTTCTCTTTCTATTACACATGTACAAAAACTCCCTCTGCATTAAAAAAATATAGTACACTGCCAGACAGCACCGGGAAAAAAAAAAATAATAAGTTAGTGAAATAAGAACATCTAGCTTCTAGTTCACACTTTCACAGCTGGGTTCACAATACCACTGCTGCCATTTTTTCTTCTATATGTCAAACACCATGTAACACTTGTCCAAATAAGAAAAACACCCTGACTCATAGGCGTGCACCGAATACAGTGTAAGTTGCAGCATTCTGCAAAGAAAATGATAAGAGGAAAGTAACATGTTTAACGGACACACAGTTTGCTCCATGCAGATACCTATGAATGTGATTTACTTATATTAGCCTGCCTGCGGGTCATATGCCATACTTCCATCAAATATATATATTTTTTATAATTATAATTGTAAAGAGGTCACTAAAACACACATACACTTGCCACACTCGTGTTCAGTCTGAGTGGTAGAACCCCCTCTGGTTCATTTCATCTGCTTTTCTGTATTTCTCGCTGTCTCTTTTATACCAAACGTCTTTCTTTTCTTCTTGTAATGGTTGTAGGGGAATCTTAAGAGTGTGGTCGGTGGGAGGTCACAGTGTGACTGGGGCTGACGGGCGCAGGGATGAGGACGTGTCAGCAGTTTAGGTTTAAGGTAGCCTTGATCACGTGAGTGATGGCAACCACAGGGTAAAAGTAGGTGTCCACAAAAGCTGTCGACTTAGCAACTGTCACCAAGGGGATGGTCACATTTGCCAGGTTGACGAGGGATGGCCGTAGCAACCACTGCGGCCAGTTGGCTGACCCTGTTAGACGAACGAGTTCATGGCGTTAACAGGCGACGGTGCCTCCGAACTCTCATTGCCCTCGTGTGTGTCCTTCTCCTTCTTGCCACTGTACTGGCCAATAAAGGAGCCATCCTCATTGAACTGTCCATCCCCGCCCTCCCCGTAGTCCACTAAACTGTCGTCGCTCTCGTCGCGCCGCACCGTCCCGTTGGACGGCGTCCGGCTGCCCTTCAGTGGTTTGTGATCTTCAGTGTCACTGATTAAAGGGTGGGAAGATAAAAAAGAATTACTGAGAAATAATTTATACCATTTGTAAAATGACAAACAGGCTCTTCAAGCATATTCAGAGTCTGGCTTTTCCACTGCACAAGTCTTACAAGATATCATAGTAATGGTCTTAATACCAAATCTTAATTGTGCTACAACTAGGCATGGTTTTTCAATTTGTAAGGTTCACTAATATATTTCTTTTAAACAAAAAAACCCAATAATTGTTTTTTTGGTATAGACCTGTTGTCTCATACTGACAGTCTGTTGTGTATAGATAATAATGGAAAGGAAGTTTACAAAACTTTTATCCAAAGTGGCATTGTTCAAAGGCACACAACCAGACATTTTTAACATCATATTTTTAAACAAATATTGGTAAGAGGATATAAAATTCAGGCTGTGTGTTGGTTAAATCAACAGCCGACTGCAAACAAGCTAACAAAGTAGAGGCGCTTCTATATTTCGACCTTTAAACGAAAGTTTCAAGTGTCTGTCTGCATCCCATGCCTAATTATAGCATCGGAAATTATATTTACTGCACAAACTTGTTAGCATACTCATACAGTGGAGCAGCTCAGCTAAATAAAAAGATCCTCTAAAGCTTAAGGGCTGTAGTGCTTGAAGCCTCTACAGCACTGGAGAGACCTTGCCATTACGTGCTGTTTGACTAGCTACAAGGTACCTGAATAAGAACTGTTTTAGTCAATATGCCAGCAGTTGACATGCAGCAATCCAAAATGCAACTAGGAATTCTGTTTTAATGCTGCATGTAAGTAAAAACTTCTTAAACCAGTCTTTTTTTATGCAAGCGTTTCAAGGGTACTATCAACACAGCCTTTGGGTATTGAATGAACATAAATTAAAATAAAAGAATAAAAAAAACTATACTTATTTGTTGAAATGATGAAGGTAAAGTAAGTAGAAGCAAATTATTTTGTGTTAATTTATTAAGGTAAGACAGACCCGGTTACACATGGTTTTAACTTTATCTGATTTCTTTTAATCTTTTGAAAAATCTATAAAAGCTTGCATATGATTTGTGATTCAAAACTTAAAATTTGATTGCTCTATTTATCCTGCACCAAAAAGAAAAAAATGTATAATTCCTCACATAATCATCCTGACTCACTCTCTCAAAACTTCTATGGTTTATATGACATGATCTCCTTTCTTTCCCCTTCTGATGAGTAATTAGGCAACAGTCATATTAGATTTATACCTCAGGAAAGCCACATATCTTATAAAAACACAATTTTTAAGTATGAAATTATCTAACTTCCGTAAAAAGATTAATTTATATGAAAGTTTTTCTTTAAAGATTGTTAGCCTAAATGCCACTAAGAGTGGAGCTTTAGGACTAGTCTCACAGTATAGCACTACACTTAGTTTTTTAGGCATTTCTATTCCATTTCATTTAATGCTTTATGTTCTTATCATTCTAAATCAACATCAAGGTTGTTTTTTCTAGCATTTCTTTAATTAAATTCACTATTCATTTCAAAATTATTGCAAAACAGCAGAATTAGTTTCACCAAAAAACAAAAAAAGTTTACTTAAGCTGCTTTATGGGGCAATAATGTCTGATTTACAGAACAATTTTGACCATGTTATATAAACTAATATGACTGTCATCTTATTGCCAGGTGTAAATAGGGTCTGTGCTGACCAGATAAGCAGACATCCTATGCTCTCTCAAATAGATTAACTAAAGTTAGAAAGCTCTTTAAGGCAACCAAGGGTTGCATGAAGTGCATGCTTGTTTTATTGCATGTCTTACCTCTCCATTGACCTAAACTCCACACAGCAGAAAGATAAAAATGCAAGGTTACATTAACAGCACAGTATGGATGGTTCATTGGAGGTTTTTGGCCATTGTTACATGTAATACAGTACAACATGCAATGGAGACTAGAAATTAAAAACAGGAAAAAAAATATTGTATAAAAGTTAAAAGAAATGAAATGATTTGAATGCTGTAATTCTATATTCCTTTATGTCTTATCTGGAATTTCTAAATTAGGTGATGTCACTGAAAAACTGATAATGCAATAGCTTCAAAGTCTTACAATTTGTTAGTGTAAATGACTAGATAACACTGGTTAAAGGATAAACTGCTTTGATTAAAAACTAAGGAGAACTAGATGGTCTGTTAGATGGCTAATAGATCAAGTAGGTTGATAAACAAATCATAGTTTTAATTATTGCCTTGCCTCTATGGAGTGTTTGAAAATGGAGCCAGGTGATGGGGAATGTCTCTGTAACCTGATAAGGTGTTATATACAAATAGCCAAATCAAGTCAAAAGAATGCAAAAGCAACGCGTGTTATCTCTTTTAAAGACAATTATTAAATCTCTCTTTCAAGAGTATTTTTTCTCACCTGTACTCTCCAAATGTTCCATCATCCTCCTTCATTGGCTGGATCTCTGGGTCTTGGTGAGCATCTTCTTTCTCTTTCACTTTTAAAGCGAAAAACAAAACAAAGACCCTATTAATATTAATAATCTTTAATGTACCCACACTCATACTGCTTACTGCAAAAACACAGCTTTACCTGGATATTTGCCACCTTTATTTCTTTTGATGAAGCACACGATGAGAAGCACCAAGATCAGGAGAGCAATTGCACACATCAGTCCGATAAACCAGCCCTGCGTAGCAATGTCCACCTGCCGGTTTGGCACAGCTGGGTACAAAGACACAGAGAAGCAGGAGAAAAGTAAGAATAATTGGCAGAAAAAAATTAAAGAGATGCACCAAAAACCTGGCTGGGGGTCTGGAATTGGCTTCTGATCAGCTTGATGGACGGTAGCCAATAGCAGTTTAGTTAGAATATTCAAAACATGACATTCTTCTATTGATGATGCTCTATACTTAGGAGAAAAGGGGCTGTGCTAAAAACACTCTTTGGTGTGGAAGGTTTAACTGATGTAGGGGATTCAAATTAAGTCAATTTCTGTAAGTATAAGGGCTTTACAGGCAAAAGAAGCACAGCAAAATTAAAAAGTTATTTTCAAAAAGTTGCTTTCTACATAAAAAATGTCTGCTCTTCTACGATTGTATATGTATACAGGAAGTGACTGTTTAAGGAATATCAGGAAGAGTTAATGAGCTTTTAACTGCTCTCTGTTATGGAACATGCTAGAGACAGATAGGTTGAAAGCCTTTAGCACTATATCCATGAAATGCACAAAGCTGTTTAAATGTGGTACGCTAACTAAACTGATTATGGAAAAAATAAACATTAGAAGTCATTTTCACTCACACCTCCAATAACTACAAATACTTATTGAAGGCTTACAGCAGGAAAAAGGCAATAAAGAAAAAAATAAGCTTTGATTGCTGTTAATTGAACTTATTAAAGATAAATCTATATTTTGGTGCATCTCTTTAAACGAATGATGAAACAGAGGTCCTAAAAAATGATGATGGTTCTCTTCATGAAAAGCAGGACCGATGTTAACACAGAACTTTGATATTGAAATGGAAAACAAAATGGGTCAACATGCAGTTACTTTTAAAAACTCTAAATAAAACGACTAAGTGGGAAAAAATGAGAATGGCAATTAGAATAATGATTACTAATACATGCGTTAGGGCTATGGAAACAATAACATATATTTTGATTTGTTTATCCTGACGTTTTGATTTGTTTCTATATGCAAACGATAGCATTTAAAAATGGGAGGAAATACATTTGGTAATAGAGGATGAGAGTAAATAAGATAGGGAGGATTAACCAAGTAGCCTCTTTTAATATTTACTAACTTAATGGGCTGTGTTTTAGTTAAGGGTTTAATATGGACTTTTGTCATTGTCATAATGTTATGCTTTTGTTTGATTTCTCTTTTTTTATATTCCTTGAATGAACTTGAATGAACAATTTTACTGTTTGTTATTTTCTCTAATATATCTTGGGTGGCCAGGTAGGAACTCTGCAGAAAATAGCTGATGAACAATTCATTATATTTCATAGCGATTCACGCTAAATGCTGAAATTGCAAAGCAGGGTGATAATTTTTTACTTACGTTTTGTCTACAAATGACTAACTGGAACTACATTAACTGGAACCTTTTGAGGTAAGTAATCTAAACAGGAATATAATATTTACTCAAGCATAGCCTTTCAGCTATGAAAATAATCCAGGGGCAAGAGATGCTTTTATTAAAGACTATGACCATGCAATACTGTATATCTTTAGAAACAGATGACAATCAAAACGCAACTTCAAACTAATTCATCTGATATCTAAATGTTAATTGCAGTGTTTGTGCACGTTAAGGCTGTTATGTTTTTAAGCATTTACATGCTATAGATTTCATTAGGTTGAACGTGGTGCCCAGACTGACATCGGCAACATAAATAATCAACAGGTTCCTTATTGGAATCTCATTATTTTAACCTTCAGTCTTGCTCGATTTTAAAGATAGAAGCTCATATCTAACTTTTTGTTTAGTGACATCTCTGATTTGGGACCTTTAAAGGATTTTGTATGTTACAAAGTAACCAGCCTTGGTGTCACCATAGACAGCAAATTTAAACTGGACAAACAAATAAATGTTGCTTTTAAATCCTGTTTTTATCATCTCTGTCTTTTATCCAGGCTAAAAAAGTCTTTTTTTTTTAAGGTCTTTGAGCAGGTTTTACACTCTTTTATTCTAGCTTTTTGGACTACTGCAATGCATTTTATTCAGGCAGTAGCCAATTAGCTCTCTCCTGTCTGCAGTTAGTCCAAAACGCAGCGCCTCATCTTTTAACAGGGACCAGAAAACATCAAAACATTACACTAATTCTTGGGTCTCTGCACTGGCTCCCTGTTCGTTTTACAATAGGTTTTAAGATGTTACTGTCTGTGTTTAGAGCTTTAAGTGGGATGGCTCCACAATACATTATCGACTTCCTCCAGATTTACTCTCAGGCACGTGCTCTAAGGTCTGAGCGCCGTCTTCAGGTAATAGTACCTAAGACTAGGCTTAAAACCAGAAAGGTCAGATCCTTTTCTGTAGTTGGCCCCAGATTTTGGAATACTTTGCCCCTTCATATATACCGCCTCCACAGTGGAGTGTTGCAGGTCTCATCTTAAGACCCAATTTTACTCTTGGGCTTTTAACACTGCATAATTGTTTGGTCCTATGTGTCCTTTTTATTTATTTATTCATTTTAAACTCTTACTGCTTTTTTGTGTGTGTGTTGGGTCCTTTTTTTTGTTTGTTTTTATGTACAGCACATTGGAAAAGATTTTTTTGTTAAACGTGCTATACATAAAGTGGATTGGATTGTTCAATATATATATATATATATATATATATATATATATATATATATATATATATATATATATATAT